CAAGTTAGATCTGAACTACCATTAACTACGCACAAAATTAAACACAGTAATTACAACGGCTAAACACTGCATGCAAAATGATGCCCCTTGTGTAAGGGGCTGTTCATCTAGTCTGTATAAATACATGGTACCTACGCACCAGACACATGCATAATACTTTTTCTATATCATAAACAATACAAATAGATTAAAAACTAATTTTTTTATCTCTTTGAAAATTATTTTTAAAAAACACAAGTTTGATGTATTTGAATTAAATAAAATCTTATATTTATAATTGTATCGAGATAATTAATTTTACTTAGCTAAAATCATAACTGCTGTATGTATTTCAAGTAGGTACTTGGTACTTAATTGACTATTGAGTAAGATTTTAAGTGTAAATAGTTTTTAGTTGGTCTTCACAATATAAAAATCCACATTGTAAACAATATGTATGAAAGTTCAATGAGTCCCATAAGTTATGTATAAAAAATGAATATATAGTATATTTCAAAAATAAAATACCCAAAAGCTTATAATTATTCTAGTTACATTATAAGTCAGGGGTGTCCAACCTTTTGTGAAGACTGGGCCACATTATATAGGTAGAAGTTGTTGTGGGCTATATACTTTTTTTTAATAATAAAAGATAATACACTAATAAGGTTTATCTTTAGGCCCGATGCACACGTCCATATGTAATATAAGATAAGATGCCGCAAACACACGGACATGTGCATCGGCCTTTACAGTTTATTTGATGTTTTATAATTTTATATTCTTAAAATAAATCTGTTCTCGTAATATTAATATATCATATACTATTAATTCATGGTTTTTAAATTGAAGTGAGGGCTATAATAAATCTACAATGGGTTGCATGCAGCCCGCGGGCCGTGGGTTGGACATCCCTGTATAAGTCATAAAAAATACGTATACACTACTATATAAATATAAAAAATTCAATTATTAAAAATATAATTTTAAACATGCATTTGCCAATACTATTTCAAAAATATTTTTTTTTATATTAAGATAAGTTACTAGGAAACTTGTCTAATTCATTAATTCATAATCTACACGCAAATATTCATTGTAATTCATATAAAAAAAATTATAATAGTTATTTTCTAAACAATTTTATACCTTGTGAAATTTTTTTTTACTATTTCTATCCATTTATCGATTTATGATTTTTATTTTATACTTCTGCAAGCCCAAATTTTATTTATATCATATTAATATTGGTAAATTATATAGACAATATTTAAAGTACTTAAAAGATTATAAATTAAATTTAGGCTTTAAACGTAATGTTTAAAAATATAAATCACAATGTATAAGGATCATTCAATAGGGAATCCACATTAAAAACCTTGGCCTTATCTGTAATTGGGTCTTGATTGTCCTGTATACTTCTAATAACCTCTTCAATGTCTGAATCACTTATCTCAGGTAAAACATCACATTTTTGATCAGCTACAAAAATAATAATTATTAATATTATTAATTATGAATTTATGATGAATAAAATAATGGCATATTTTAAGCAACATAGAAATTGCTCGAACAAAAATAAATAAAATGTATGAGACTCAAAAAGTCACATTCAATCAGTTATTAAATATCTTATAAAAATTTATTTTCTTAAAATTGTTACTTTATTTACAATAGTCACTACTGTAAATGTACTTGAAATTGGGAAATTTATCCGTAAATAAATAAAAAAATATATTTTTAAARATATCATGAACACAATTTTTAAAATAGTAGCCTTGCAGTMAAATTAGTATAACAATATTAAACACCATTTAAAATGTGTAGGTATGTCCACTATATAAAAAATATGTTAGGGAAGTTAAAGATACCTGTACATGACAGCTACATTATAAATGTTTAAGTATATCCATAAGCTTTGATACAATATTTAAACATTTTAATATGAATTCTTTAAAAATTGAATTTTCTATGATTTAATAGCACTAAAATTAAATWAAATAAATCTTAATGTAATTACCTTGTGTAGGAATTATGTTATCAACAGCTTCAGTTTGTCGAGCTATATTTGTTAATTCAGACGCTGATGTTTCAGTGATATTCTTACGTACATTTTGTCCGGACTTCTATAAATAATGCATAAAAAAAATAAATCAATAAWCTTAATAGATAATAGGTGTGTGCAGACTCATGATCTTAGGGGCACATGTATACATTTGGCCAATAGGTCCGAGAAGAACTTWAACCAATTTTTTTGAAATAAAAATTAAATAAACAAATGTAAAAAGAGGATTTTGCTTTGCTGTCACTGTWATTAAATGATGTATTAAATTAGGATTYAAAAACTTTKTGATTTTGATGAAATTTGTAAATATTCGAAGTACTTTACAAAAGTGTCAAAAAATATGAATACTAGAAATTTTCACCAAATGTGTATAATATGCTTTAATACAAGATATTCGAAATATTTAAACTTTTTTTAAGCTATATAATATATAGAGACTTGAAACTTTATTTTAGTATTTTTATTATTAATATTGTTAAATTTTTTTCAGCTTGTTCGAAAAATTAGAATATTTCTCATAAGCCCTTAAAATAACAAAAATAACAGTTTAAAAATATTAAAGACAACAATATTTTTTTTTATTTRTAAACATTTTAATTTYAAATGTTGACAAAATTTATCAAAATCACATTCCTTTGAAAATTATTAAGCAGGTAGTTAAAAATGTATGAAATTTTTAATTTTTAAGTTTATATCGAACATTCAAAAAATTTTTCTCATAAGTAGATTATGACATATAAAGTATGTAAACAAATGTAAACAAATGGACATTAGAACATAGTGTGAATAAACTTATAGTTCAATTTGGATTATATCAATGCATTCTATACTACCCCCAAAAATTTAAAAAAAAATTGTTTGATTTTGGATAAACATCTGCAGATTTAATGTAACTATATTAGTCGCTACTGTAAGACATTAAACGTTTTACATTTATTATTATTAAGGTTGTAAATCCCAAAATAGTAAACATCAACAAATTATACCAAATGATTTAGAGTCAGCCATACAGTTTAAAACTACCTTCACTCTAAGTATTACTGAAAAAATTTTTAATATAAAAAAAACATTCAATTTACATTGCTAGATCCATATTAAAATATATTAATCATAAGTTAGGATACTTTTGTATAAAAAAAAAAACTGTCTTTGAACAAATTGAGGGAAGGGAGAAATTTCATACCAGTACGAAYATTAATAGTKTAAGRAGATTAAAAATTAATATTATATTACATCAGATGGTAAAAATGTAGGAAATGCACCGTTTTTCGCCATTTGAATAAATTGCTTTATGGACATCATAACTATTGATTGTATCCTTGTTCATTAATTTTGTCCATAATATGGCTTCTTGCAAAATCCTAATCATTCAAAATACAAATATAAATTAGTCATGGAAAAAAAAAAATTTACATTTAAATTTTAAATTTAAAGTAATTACTGTTATTAAATTTCAGTAGGTGATCTCAAGTATGTTTAACGTATTTATRCAATCATTAATTTCATCATTGACAAAATGATTTGAATTTTGAGAATCTTAAGGCAACGATTTTTCGTGAGAAATKATTTTGTTAATTCAAACCCGATAACGTATCGTCGGACATCCGCTTTTCTGCTGAAATAAGAACAATACTCTGCTATAAGTAAACGCTAAAACAAATATGTATGAGAAACATTGACACCGTAATGTTTAGACAAGAATGTTTAGGCACTCACAACGAACAATTACAACAATCAGGCGCCAAAACAAAATAAATGATATCCGCACAAACTGTAGTAGAATCCAATGAACATTTTTGCACAGATATAGAATAATATAATCAACTGGTTTGCGAGTTAGTGATAACAGCCGACGCCAAAAAATGCATATTGGATGTGGTCTTGTATACTACCACAGAACAATAGAAACAACAAATTAAAGCACGGACGTATATTATCATACATCCATAATATCTTTGACCGCGGTCAGTGGTCTAGTGGTTTTGTTATCTTTAACRCGTTATGACTACCATGATGCCCATTTTATCATTTGGCGGGTATTTCAAATCAAATCGTTCATAATATAATATGAAATACACAATGGAGAATAAATTATACATATTGTATACCGTCAATKAGATAAAATATAAATAAACTTTTATTAAATAAAAAGTTTATTTATAATAATTATCCATTAACTAACAATATTTGATAGTATGATGTATATATAATAAGAAATAATATCTGATTTAATATTTAAATATGATTTTAAGAATAAAAATAAGTTATATTCAACACCCTTAAGTCTTGATAAAAAAAAAAAAAATTTGCATATTATTCCTTTAAAACGTAATTTTTATCTTGGTGCCTTGACTTTCGACTTTTGTTTGTAAAAACAAAAAAAAACTAGAATTTTAATTTAAGCTATCACAAACATTTTGTGTGCTTTGAATGCTTTGATATGCTAATTGTTTGGTCATAATTAAATGTTTTTTTCAAGTATGTGTCAGTAGGTTTTCAATATGATAATTTACAGGGTGTCGACTATCTTTCCAATCATTTTTGTTTAGATCTCCAAGTACAGTGAAACCTGACTTAACGGACACCTCTCTTAACGGACAAAATGACCAGGTCCCGGTAAAAAGATAGGCATTCCAATGTATTTCGACCTGTCTATAACGGACTCCTTCTATACACGGACACTAATATTTTACTCGACAATTTCATAACGGACAAAAATGCATACATATTACATACTACGTTGATAAAAAACGCAATTAGGACATTAAGTGAAAACACGGATTACGACCAATTACATTATCCATATATACATAATCCATAATTATCCATCACGAGTTGGAAATTACCAAATCGAAGCACAAAAAACAAACATCAATAGAATCATTTTTTAAGAAATAATTAATAAATTTATATGTAATGTGTCATTGCATGTATGTATGTAAATAATTTAATTTAAATTTATAATGTATGTGTATAATATATATAATACATATTAATAAATATTATAAAATAAAAAACAATACAAATGTACGTACAAATTGTAATTTTTAATACATTGAAACCTGTCTACAACGGACACCTGTCTATAACGGACAATTATTTTGGTCCCGCGACTGTCCGTTATATACAGGTTTCACTGTAATAACATACATAAGAAGAMGCCACATCCGCATGCGTTGTCTCCACCTTACAAACGTAAGACATACCAAAAACTATTTTGTGCAGGACAGTTTTTCTTCCTCTGTATTTATAATAGAATTATCATAATTCCACAACGCATAGGCGAGAACATTATCTGTTCTACAGTGTATTTATTGTTTTTATCAAATAAATACAATTAAGTTTAAGAAAATTTTTTAATATTTAAATTTTTTATTTAATTATCAAAAAATGATTGCTTACTAGCGCCATAAAAAATAATGCCGACACTATGACGTGTGGAGTTTTTTCTACGTGCTTTAAAATTTCGGTGATTCTACTAAAAATACAGCAATTTAGCAATTTTTTATATAAAAATAATTATAATGATCCGAAATTCTCTTGCGAATTCCGCATTTTTTTAAAAACATTAAAATTCTGTGTTTTATCAACAAATTATTTGAACATTATCCGTGGAGTGGAAACCACTAACTTGTCCCACTTTTCAACAATTGACAATAATATTATATAAATATATAAATAATATTATATAAATATTATACAATAATATACTTAATATTTTGTGTATCGTCGTGTGTGTTCTTCTATAACGATTTGCATATGTAGTACAAAATTGGGAATATWAAAAAAAAACCAAATATGTCCTCACGGCTCTCACCCGAGAATGGTATGATAATAATATAATGTATAATAAATTCGAATCGTGTAAGCCTGTTAGCCGATATAAAGGCACAGCCAAACGCATTTAGCAGTTAGTGGTATCCTGATGTCTTCTACGCACAAAGAAATTCCAGCGCAGCGKGAGTCCGGTACCTACTTATATGTTATATTTACACACATTTTTGTGTTGCTTTTCTACCGTACCCAATAACAATAACGACCTACCTTTTTGATTCTCACTACCTGGCTGGCCAAGGGGTGGCGTCACGACGTCGCCGTTCCACTGTTAGACGCTGCGGGGAAAGAGTACACATAACAATAATATTATTGCAGAAAGAATTCGACCGATTAATATAACATATTATAATATAAATTACCTAGGTACTTAACTGCGTATTATTATTATTTGTATTCTTATAAATTATAAGTGTGTGTCGTTTTCAGAAATACCTATTATTTAATTAACCTATTAGTTGATTACTAGTAATTCCAGAAATCGACAAACGCCTATGACTCACAGGAATTCAAAAAAAAAGAAAAGAAATTAATATACGCAGATAGGTAGATAGGTAGTTTATATTATTCCAATATATTTTATTATTTGGCCGATCTTTTCTATAATAATAACATTACAGCACGGAGCCATGATGTCGTGATGCCAGAGTTGAGCAAAATTTTATCTAAATAATATTATTCGAATAAAAAATTATTACTCTAATAATTTACAATCATAATTGTACGATGTACCTGTACCATAGTAATCAATAGTAATTATATAATTATTGTTAAATTTGTCTATATTGTCAATATTAAACACGTTATTATTGTTCCCAGTAAATATAGCCTATTATCAGTACTATAGTAAATTACATATTATTTAATTTTCTACTATTGTCATATATTATTTTATTTATAATATTTTTCCATTTATTCCGAATAAAATGAAATCGTGTAATTTAAAATAGAATATCAACCATTGATTTTAATWTGAGAATTTTTTTTAAACGAMAACCATGTTTTTACTCGAATAAAATAACCAAAAATTATTCGAATGAAATTAAATTGAATAATGCCTTATTTGAAAAATAATTGTGAACAAAATAATAATCTTTTGCATAAAAGGTTATCTAAATAACCATATACATATATAAAATTGCATTAACCTCTAATCTGACGACTTCGACCTATGACCAGACTAATATTGATTTTCGACTCCGCTATCAGTCCAAATGTTATAAACCAGTTTAATAACACGATTTTAAAACGATTACAGTATAATATTGGACTTTCGAAAACAAAAGGATTACGGACAATATAAAATATGTGTCATACGTTCTGTAGAAATTCCAAGCGTATTAAGTATGGTATTTTTAATGTTATGTAAATCAATTCTGTTAAATACTGCTGTCGTCGAGTTTTAAGTGTAGCATATCGAAAAATTTATAAACAATGGACTCGATTTACTGGACTGCACGACCTGGCAACGCTTCACTAAAATTCGTCCACAATAATCGTGTAATTTTTTGGGTATAAAATAATATCTTTTGTCCCACAGTAATCGTTTAAAAACGTGTAGTGAAATAGGTCAAGTATCCGCACCGTGTTTTACCCATATTTACCCGAATTAACAATACAATAAATGATACAGAGCCGGACTATACTAAGTAGGTACTGACCCTCACCCCCACGTAGATGACCAATATATATATATATATATATATTTAAAGAAACATATCTTATTTTTTCGATATCACTTATACAAAAAACATTCTTATTATTTTATAATATATTAATTTTGTGTTTTTTTAAGCATGAATAGCTTTTTTTGTAGTTCTGATATCGAAAAAATAGAAACGATATTGCACAGACAAAATTCTCCTTTTTATGTGGTGAATATTTYGTTTCTTAGTTATAACTGTAGCTTTCTCGGTTCTTTCCCGCGCGAAACAGTTATTGCAATGGGACGCACTTGTAAGACGGAGACAACACATGCGGGTGTAGCGTCCCCTTAATGTGCTCGTATATTGTATTCGTTTCGGGCGAAAATAATSTTACCCGAGTCTTCAGCGCATCGAACACATGTTGTTAGTGTTAGACATTACAATGAAGCCCACTATGGCGATCGAAACAACCGCACAGCATACAATAGGTGGTCGCCGCCGGACGGTCAGGACTCAGGGAGACAACATGAAACAAAATTTACCAAATAAAAATAACATTGAAGGGTATWAAGACGAAACATATGTGTCTGAAATGTTATTTTGTGCCATTATATTTGTTGCTATATATTACTACTTGACACTTTATATTATTTTACCAGTTTTCGAATACCCACGTATTTTAAATAATTTTTGAAATAATTATCTACGTCTGTACTTAAATATTTTTAAAAAATCATCCAAGTCTTACAACACTGTCAATCATAGGTAAATTTAAGTGGATTCGCAGGTTATCTTATATTAAAAGCAATGGAMTTTTTGCCACATATCTTAAAATCTAAATATTAATATTGTGATAATCTGTCCCACGACAGAAAACGAAATATCTTGATGTGCATAGGTGCAAATAGCATTTGAAATTTGGTGAGGCTGAAGCCTTACTACAACGATATAGAATAAGCTGAAAAAAATTAAGGAAATGTTTGGGAAAGAGCTATTAACATTTTAGTTCCTGAAAAAAGGGACCAATTAGTGTAGTATTTGCGATTAGCTCTAAATACTTTGTACCAGACTTTAATGAGCTGCCTATACTAATATATTTATAATATTATTTGGTATGCTATTATGTTGTTTTATGATAATGCTATATGAATCATACAATATGATTGAAGAACAAAGAATGTTAAGAATGTAATACATATACTATATATGGTATATATACTATAGAAGTAGTATAATAAAAATGAGCTGACCATTAATCAGACGTTTAAATTAAAACTTGAGTTAAGGCGA